AATGATGAGACAAAAATTAATAGGATTAAGTTGAGAAATTCTCCTTCCATTTAGATGTTTTCAATTTGTATGTGTACAACTGCCATGGTCGTACAGATGCATGGTGAATATTTGCTATACCAATCAAATAAAATGAAAGGAATCTTTTGTTCAAAAAGAGGTTTTCGAAGTGGGTGTACATGTACATGACTGACTGGTATCACAGTATATTTATTTTTCTTTTCCAGGTGAATTTCGTGTTCTTGGTAGTGTCTATCCGTATCGCCTACTCTGGCCGTGCTGCAGTCAGCAAGGACGCCACCAACTCACAGAATATCAAGTAATTTGAAATAAAGAGTTCATTTCAAAAATTGGGTGAAAGTGTGGTACGGTATGTCAATGAAACAGCTCCCGTAAGATTTTTGTTCCAAAGTTGATTTTTTTTTTTTTTTTTTTTTTTTTTTTTTGCCTTTTTGGATTCATTGGGGTCCAAGCTATCAGAAATTGGTGGGGTTCAAATTTTCCCGAAGACACCAAATTTCCCTATTGCGCGTTATATATGCCATTTTGGCGCCCAATATGGACCTCCCAGGAAATGAAGGAGGGGTCTGACAATTTGAACCCCATCATTTTGGGGCAATTGGGACCCTTTTGAAGCCAAAACAGCAACAAAAACAAAAATCAACTTTGGCAAAAAAATCCTACGGGATTACATAACATACCGCACTACAGGGTTAGGATTAGGGTGAGGGTCAGTGTTAGGGTTAGGGTTGCATACCACGGTGCTTCTGTGTTTGTTTCATTTTTCGTTTATGTACATGTATCGGGGGTAGGGTACCTTGAAATGCTAGAGCGCCGCAATGGCAGCACAGCTAAAGCCGGGGTAATAATCTCCAAGTTTGGAAGCGCTTAGTGATTCTAATAAGCGCTATATAAAAACTGAGTATTATTATTATTATTAAAATGTATTACGGGCAACAACAATAACATTAACAAAAATGTCCTGATATGGACTATCACATGATAGTTAGCAAAATGGAGCTTCAGTTTTTCTTACAAGCAAGATTCAACAATAACGACAAAACAAAAGTAACAATAAATAACACAACATAATCATTAACAACTGTACAGTAATGATAATTATTTGTTCGATGTGTCGATAATGCTGAACAATTCAAACGGATGATAATATAAACGTTTCCAATGCTGTTAAATGGATCGAATTGCAATTTCCGAAATTGTTATGAATTAGACATTGAATGGGTTAAGTTTCACTGCTATATATAGTTGTGTTTGGTTGTCGTCATTACAAAATCTATCATTGTTGATTGTGGTAGTCATTAGATTAATTGTGAGATCACGTCAGTTAAATCATTAGTCTTATCAAGACCCTGTTTCATAAAACTTGTTATCAATAACAAATGCTGAAATCCTATGGCAAATTAGCTCTCTACCAATCAGCTGGCATGATTACGGTAGCTTATAACAGTTAAAGTAACTTGTTATTGAGAACAAGTTTTATGAAACAGGACCCAGATTGATATGATGATTATGAACCAAGTGAGTTGCATTGATGTAATGCTGTAAATGATTTGTCTGTATTTGCAGGATATGGATCAAGGGGGCAGTGACTTTGACCTTCCTCCTTGGAAGCACATGGGGTGTAGGGTTCTTCTTTCTCAGCGGGGCATCTATACCCATGGCCTACGCCTTCGTCGTACTCAATTCCCTACAGGTGAGGACACGCCCTTAGGTTGCGATGTCAAAATGTAAAACATCATCTGTATACCAGGCCCCGTATTCAATTCCATACTGAAGTACTAAATTTAAACTTTTTACTTAGTATTTGGCTTAAGTAAATTACTTAGACAAAATTGAGATTCAATTAATTTTCAAGTATTTTACTAAAGTAAAGTATGATTTTGTCTTAGTAAATGACTTAAGTATTTAACTTAAGGTTGGTATTCAAATCTCTTTCGTGAAATGATGCCCAGCAGCCCAGGACCCTGTCTTATAAACAGTTGCGATTAATCGTAACTTATTTGCGATTGATATCAATCGCAACTATGTACATAAGAGATAGGAGACTGTAAACTTGCGATTGATTGGAGGACTTGCGACGGATTCGAATCAATCGCAACTCTTTATAAGACGGGGCCCAGGGCATCATTTCGCGAGACCGTCGTAAACTGTACAATTTCGGCTACCCCGAATGATAATTTGATGGTATTTTTTTTATCTGTTCTAACATTTGACGTCTGTGATGACTTAAACGTGATTATCAAGTCGAATTCACAAAACATCAAGTTAGACCAGCCATAGTTCATATTAGTTCCTTGGGCTAAATATACACTAGAGTTAGATAAAGCTTAAGAACAGCGTCGAGTTTCATTTGATATATAGAATAAGGCACTCTGTCAAGCGAATATACACTCTGAAATATGGATTGGGCGCCATTACAATATCCAAATCACGTCTCATAGTATAAACAAATATAAAAACAATTTAGACTCAGAATTTAAATGTGATTTAAAATCATATCAATGTAGGGACATCGTTTTTTTTTAAAAGGTCACTTTGAACTGTCAAATAGTAGTTTCATCGCACTATTAAAATCCTTGAATTGTGCACTGTTGCTATTGGAATCATTTTCAAGTTGAGAGATAAGACTGCTCAGGTCTACCTTTATATGAATCGTCTATCTCCTTGATGTTTTTAAGAGACTGAACTTCGACCTCTTATAATTATTATATGATATTTTTTCTCTCTTTTTCTCAGGGAATGTTCATCTTCATCTATCACTGTTTGGGTAACGACCGAATCAAGAAGGAGATGGCCAAGTTTCTACTTCGTCAGCCATGCCTGCCTGATTGTCTAAGGGTCAGACTCGAAGTTGTCGCTCGCGTCGGTAGCAATGTGTACAGCTTAACTCAAAGCTCAACAGTATCGGTAAGATCAAGACTGGACAACACTTTTCAAATCATTCCTCTCAAATGATCTTATTTCCCCTCTTATAATACATGACCAACTTTTGAACAATTTATGAAGATTTGGTTGACTTTTGGTATGTTTTAGTAGGGTCTCTCCACGCCGGAGTTACAGGTAAAAGTCTGGATATGATTCTGAACTAGCGCCAAATACTCCTCGTGGACAGTTTAGTTATTCCCCATGGTAATGGCGATATTTGTTACAACCTTACAGAACTCCACAATAAATTGGATCCATAATAAGATTTTTATTTAATATAGATGTGTAAAATCCCACCAATATTTTTCGGGACATAAGTTTGCGGATCCTTTTTGGAAAATGAGCAGGAGGAGGGAGGAGGGGGGGGGGGGGAGGGGTGGTCGACTAACAACTTTTGATAAACATGATTTTTTTAAATAAAATCGGAAATAGAAAATACTGCTTTATTACCATCAATATCGGTAGTGTAACACGTTGGTATTTTCCGGCCTGTTTAAACTTGGATGGCCGGAAGCTGCATATGGGTGCTTTGAATTTTTTTTTTTGAAATCTTATATATTTATGTTTTCTATCAAAGACGGTGTTTTTCTCCAAAGGGCTTACTCCTGTCTGTAAGTGTTGTGGACTTCAATCTTTGTTCCCACTGAAATAAGTTCAAATCACAGACGACATAGAAACGAGACAAACTTTCGATCTGTTTCCTTCGGGTTTTATTCTCTCATTTCCCTACAATTTTAAACATATGTTTTATCCATCATTATTTTCTTCCTCTTTTCTTTTCTTTAATCCATCTATTTTACAGACCAACAAGAAACCTGACAGTAAGTATTCTACGAATCATGTTCTATTCATAATGATTAAAGGACACAAACAAATAATACAAAATGAAGCTCTCCATTATAATTCTGCCAATCATTTACGAGTCACTACAACCTGTCAAAAAATGTATATGATAAATACATATCTATATTGTTATAGGATTTGTGTTATTGTATGGTCTTTACAGTATTAATCTTGGGTTTCTGCAGACTTATGTAAATTATAATTTATTCACTATTATCTAATTTGAAATAAACAGATTAATAGATTATAACTAAAAAAATGAAAACACGACAACTTAAATGGGGCATCCTCTGATCACCTGCCTTGCTGCTCAAAGACTATCATGAATAATCATTGAGGTGGTCAAATCTAATATTTTTTATATTTTTTATATTTTGTTTGCATTACAAGAGTAAAAGGACGTTTCAGAGAGTCAATGAAGTAGCGTGAATACAAATGCCATGGATGGGACACGGCATGATAGGGAATGATAATAATAATTTTGTGTAACCAGGGAGGCCCCATTAGCATCAGTCCTGTTCTTCCTAAGGGCCAGGCGCGGATCTAGGGGAACCGAGCGGGCCTTGGCCCCCCTGACCCTCCCCCCCAAAAAACAAAACAAAAACGGATATAAAGGGGGGGGGGGGGTAATAAATACAAAATATCGGCCGGCGCGATTTTTCAAATTTTCGGGGTCAAAATAGAAAAAAAATAAGTGCTCACTATAGGTAGAGCAGTGGTCTCGTAATCTGATGACCCGGGTTCGAAGTGCTCTATGGTAAGGGATTAATCCTCAATACCAGGTCCGTCGGAGAGGAGCTAAAGCCTTTGGTCCGCTGGTTGCTTTCTTAGCAGTCAGGTATTAATAAACACCACTACCACCACCACTAGATTCCTTGAAAGTGTTTGCAAACGTGCCATACTAATACCTCCGCAATATTTTGTTTTGCAGCTGTTGCTCTTTCAGAGAAGAAGAAAGACGTGGTTCATCCCGTGGTCTGTGTACAGGACGTCGATGAGGATGATGGCAAGCCCAGGTCCTGGCTCTACAACCGTAATGGAGCCGAGGAGACCAAGGTGATTCCTCCCTCCGACTACCCTGAACCAGACTACTATTAAGTCTACAGCGGAATAATTATATCCAAATCATAAGACCCGCTTTTAAACTGTCCAGACTCAAGACTTACCTTTTCCTTACGTTTACCTTTCCTGACAAGTGACGATTCTAAAATCAGACTGCTGTGAACTCTTCAGATAAAGTGGTTATCCTGTCGTTGACTATCCCTCGAGCAGGACTATTGACCGCTCTTCAACTCAGTCACTAGTACTGACTGCCCTGAATGAGATTGTTTCAGATGTGTACATAGACCAAGATTATCCCTGTAGCTGACTATAATTTATAGCCGACCGGACTTTGTTTAGTTCGACGGTTGAAGAGACCAGGGATTATCCCGGCCGCTGACTATCTTGAACCAGATTATTACGCTTTCTGAAAATGTAAAGATACCAAATTTATTCGTGTTACTGAACCCACGAAGGGACTACACACCGCTGAATAGATCTTAGTGATCAAAGCCGCTGACTACCAACTCTATAGCCGAAGAGTAGAACGACTGACCACCCTGAAATAGACTATTGCTGAGTCTGCGGAGATTTATAGCCGACTACTCTGAACCGGACAATAACCAGTTCGTCACAGAACAGAGTTATCCCTTCGACTGACTTTTCGGAATCTGATTGCTACTGATTCTTCATGACTATAAGTTTATCCCTATAGCTAAGTGACTACCCCGGATAGGACTAGTACCAGTTCTCTATTTGATGAGACAGAGCTACCCCTGAGCCTGACTACTCCGAATCAACTGCTACCATGCCCGTCTTTAAAGAGCAAGGTCATTCCTACTACCCCTGACCAGACTACTACCACTACTACCAAGTTACCTTTGCTTGTAGTGATGCCCTGACTATACCGAATTGGACTAGGTATAGGGGTGTATGATTTAGGCGAAGAAGCCAAAAGTATTCCAGTGGCTGATTTACATCGAGCCGGGACTACTCAAAATCAGTCTAGCCGCAAAGACCAAGGTTAATTTTGTTTACTATCCCAAGATGGACTACTACCGATTCTACAAAAGACCAAGTACATGCGACTGACTGTGCCTACTTCGAGCCAGACTTTGACTAAAATTAGAGGTGAACAAACGTAATTGAACTATTACAATACCCAGAGAAGATACATGTGCAGATCTATAGATCGATGTCATCAAAAACCTCGGGGTAAAATTTGATTTATACGAAAGGGTAGACAGTACCGGGATGCTTTTAAATGTTCGCAACAATGTTAGCATCATGGCGAAAATTTTGCAAAGAAAGTACACAACAACTGTCACTGTCTAAGATATTGTTTATTGGCTTTGACCAGAAAGGGACACACTTTTTTTAAAACAAAGCAATTTAAAGAGGTGATGTGATTTTTGAAGAACAATGTTGTGTATACTTGCAATACTATTGTAACATGTATAATTGGAATATTAGGCAGCAAACGCAGTACTTTGGAAGCAATATGGTTAATTTATTGATAAGAAAGTAAAATTCGGGGGAGGTTGCGTTTTTTTATCTGTGTTTTAAATGTTTGCAGTGATAAAAAAAGCAATTTAGTGTGATTTATTCTTAAAATTCATTTCGTTTTTGTACATATCCTCCTGTTTGTCAACTTTCTGTGATATATGACTATGACCAGCTCCCAACCTATAACTATGGGATTGTGATTATATTTTCCATTCGTGTGAATTTAATATATAGACTTCGTTTGATATTTTTATATTGCAAGTTGACGAACAAAATAAAAATCCGGCATATTTTCAAGATGCATGGCAATATTTTAAGCATCTCTTTTGTAAATTGAAAGTCAATTGCAACCATATTTCCAAATACCTTTATGTTAGCAGTGTTGTTGGTACATCAATTTATTGATTTATGAAATAATGTTACATGAAATAAAATGAGGGTTACACGCTAGAAATATGAATGCTTTGTAAATTTAGTATTTCCTTTCATCATTTTGGCTTAAATCTGTGATAGAATTTGCTTGCATTTGCTGTGGAAAGTCAATTTTTTTCACTAATCGTCTTTTGAAATAATTTAGTGACATTCCTAATTGTGTATGTACATATGTCACTTAGGCCACCGTTTAGTGCTTTGTTTGTAAAAAGTAGAATTTTTAAAATTACAACTAACTCCAAAAGTAAGTTTATATGTAAGTAAATATCATGTATAGCTTTATCGATTGTAAATACAATTTTGATCATTCCAATTATATACGTACGTGTTGATATTTTTGTGGCAGGAAATTTTCTCTAATGTCAATTTATTCTGGTCCATGTGCCAACCTTTTGATTAAATGATGTATTGCAATAAATGCGAGGCAGTTTATTGAATGGATAGAGAATGCGAAATAGAAAGAAAATATTGAGACAGATGTAATAAGCGTGCCAAGTGAGAAATATTGTGGATCATATAGGATAAAACTAGGAGTAAGAAAAAGGGGATAGATATTGACCGAAGCGAACAAAAAGTTGCAAGCATTAATTGGTTTATTTCACAAGAAACAACATCGCAAATACTTTGGAGATATCAACTTAGGGGCAATTTCAATATTCTATTGTTTTTTTCCACGGAAACCATGTTCGGATGACGTAATAATGTGATCGTAATCATTCGCACACGGCTGTTGAATTTGGCTTAGGTTGAATTTGGGAAAGTGTTTTGCGATCGGGTTCAGAATAAGGACACCTTTTTTTAACAATGTAAATGTGGTTTCCTCAGCGATATATATTTCCTTTTATAAAGTTAATAGAGACCGTTATTGCGTGCATGATGTTGCATAATTATCAATGCATGTTTTGAGTGATAATGTTGCTATACTTTATTGACTGATTGACTGACTGATTAAAAGAATTGAAACAATGTTTATATAGATTTCTGTTTAATGACTCTGTATGGGATTTGTATACCTGAACATTTTTATATAATGTGCTGTTTGAGAAGGGGGTCATTTTCAACCATCTAGGAAGCATCTTGGTTGCATAGCAATCCATTGCGCATACTCACTTCATCACAGAAAGAATTGCACAATCATAAATGATTTAAATATGTGAATTTATGATTTTTTTGTGGCCAAATGTACAGTACTCCGTACCAGTACTCCAACACCAAAACATAAATGAAAAGAAAATACCATGTCCCTGAATGCATTTCATCTGTAAAGAATTGGCTTCAACGTTGAGAGTTGGCATGCGGTTATGTGATCTAATTGAAAGTTTGACATTGAAGGAAACGTGTTTTTTTTTCTCCACATTTTTTGTTTAAAAATTCAATTTTGGAAAGCGTGATAGAAGAAAAGATAGAAGAACTTTATTTTCTGATGAAGATTGTTATGCATATATTTGATAATGTCTTTGAAAAGAATTGAAATAGTTGATTTAATTCATTTTAATTATAAAGAAGTGCGTGCCACATGTATATAGCTGTATGCGACTTATCAAAGTCTTTCTAATATTTGTAATATACTTTTGACTCTAAGTATTTTGATTGTGTTATAACCGCCTTCGAGATCATTGGGATGAGACGCTATACGATTTGCCCTCATTTTAAGAATGTCCAATTATTTTTTAAAGTGGTTTATTTAAGATAAGTTCAGTCGCATTTCGACGGTATAACTTCTATAAATTATTTTTCAAATTCGCCTTCATTATGAGAATATCCTTGTTGGTTTGATAATGGCTTTAAGGCCAAATAAAAACAATATTTTACTTTGTCGTTCCTTCCTCCTTCCTCGATTCAATTTTTTTGTTTTGTTATTATAATTTTGTTCTGGAATTAAATGAATACTAATCTGAAAACATCTTGGCAATATAATGCAGTTTTACATTGTTTTTAGCCTCTTTGGTGCACTTGCTATGAGATTTGAATTGACAAATAATTTTTTTTGTATAATTACATGGATTTGCCTCCTCTTCATTTTGGAAAAAAATGTCGACGAAAAACTAGAAATCAATTTAAATTGGCCTTATTTGAGGATAAAATTTAGTCGAGAAGGTGTGGAATCTTTGTTTCGATTCCTGTCAAACAGGAAAGTCTGACTTCTGACAAGTCGAAGAGTTCATATCGGTCACCGAGAACATGGAGACCTGTCTTCTTTGCTTCGAACCTCGTCACATTTGATTTATAATGTAGAAACATTTCGCTACTATATTCTGCCAAATTATCATATTTTCAATTGTGGAAATTCATCTGTTTTCAAATCACAATCGTGCAGGCCTAATGGCTAAACAATCTAAATTATTTCAAAAATACTAAACAATCAGTTAAAAGGCAGATTATTGAATTACTTGTAATCGAATTGCTTGTGAAGTCATTTCAAACATATTTAAGACATGATTGTGTTTCTTTCAGAGAAATTTAATGTTTCGAAATTTGCCTTAGATTTAAATAAAGCTAAAATGAATAGTCGACCTCAAATACTTGTTTGATGCTTTTGTTATTTGCAGGCTTACAGTCTAATAGTAATAATTTATTTACATGAAAAAGACAGATAAAGAGATAGGAACACAGAATGTGAGGTGAGGAAGAGGAGGGAAATTGAAGAGAGGGCGAGGGACAGAGGGTATGAGAAAGGAGAGATAGGAGAGGAAAGAGAGGGAGACAGACAGATAGACAGAAAGTGTAAGTCAGAGGGAGAGAGAGAGAGGGGGGGGGGTGAGAAAGGGAAGATGGGAGAGGAGAGGGAAGAGAGACAGACAGACAGAGACAGACATACAGACAGATACATAGAGCGTGTAAATCACTGAAAAGGAGAGTGATAGAAAGAGAGAGGGAAAAAGAGAAATGTTAATGATAATAAAAACGTTACTTATAAAACGCTTACCACCGAAGTATCAGAGCGATATAAAAAAAAAAAAAAAAAAAAAACTTGCATCGGCCGGGAATCGAACCCGGGTCACCCGCGTGGCAGGCGAGAATTCTACCACTGAACCACCGATGCTTCACGAAAGAGAGAGGGAGAGTCCACTTGTCTTTTTTTTTTAATTGTTTTATTTATTGATGTAAACATCTATGATATTAAAGAGAGACGGTGAAGAGTGCCTTTGAGCGGATCTAGAGTTCTTAGCGATGTTTGAAAAAAAAATGAAATGTAAATATATAAGTATTGAAGAATATTGAGAGATCAATG